GCTGCTGAATAATAAAACAAGCAGGTTAATCAAATGGGCATCAAAAGTTCATCGACCATACCTTCTGCATTTAACATATATTTCTCAGTTGCAAAAGGACAGCAGACTGATAGTTCCAGTTTTTTAGAAATATCATGTGTCCAGTTAGCAGTTTAATCACTCCATGCCTATAAATAATAGTGTCTAGCTTCCATACTACTGTTTTCTTCTAAAACTTTAATGTCAATTGTTTGAAAGAAACCGACTGCTCTGTACCCTTTGGTAAAACAACCAGGAAAACTCAACCAATATTTATACTCAAGCTGCAACCAAGTAAAGAAAATTGTACGAGTAATTACTGAACTACGTGATTTACACTGACCTCATTCTCAAAATCGTTATTCTGGAAAACGAAAGGAAGGGGATTGATTTAAAGCAAAAGTTTCAACTAAGTTTACAAGCATATCCTTTGCCCCAGTAATGGGATAAGGGAAATGAAATATAAGCATTAAGCATTTACATTCAGACCAATCGGCACCATAGCAGAAGATACAAACCTGGAGTAAAGGTGGCTTTGTGTCTGGAACTTTATCTGCAAAATTCCTAGTATAAAATGCTGCTAGAGAACTGCCAAAAAAAAAAATCAGACAAGAAAGACGCAATTACAGCTTGTTTACATGATTTTGGGTGCAGCCAAAGAAGTAAAAAAAAGAATAGACCATTACACTTCACATGCAGAAAACATTTTTGGATCACCTGCTGTCATTTGAACTAGTGTGTGACAAGCTAATCATGCGTTGAGCAAGGGAAACCATTGTGAGTGACCTCATTGCACAAAACTCTGACGACATTCTCCAAAGCTGAAATGTTGTTTTCAATAGAAAGTTTAAAAGGTGACAAATAAGAAAACATGTCTCAACAATCAGTGCAGTTCTCCAAAAGTACCTCAAGATTTGCACTCAAATTAGGAAATGCCAATGTCAAAGACCCTTTGTCTCCTTGAAAACCAGAAGCTACAAAAAAGTTATCTGGTCTCTTCAGCTTCAAGTCAGTTATAAGCATGTTATCGAGCTCAGAATCCACATTCCATAAGTGTAAAAATGCCAAGCTAAATCGAAGTAAACAATCTTCAAGCGTCTTAATCCATACGTTCTCTTCTGCAGTGTCATTCGAGTTCCCATGCACACCAGAACCATTCGCTACAGGAATGTTGTGGGGACTTGGTGTCTCTGATGCCTTCCCCTTCACATGGTTAACCTCTTTCTTGTTATTCCCACTTGCCATCAAGTCATCCTTGTGATAAGGAAACACCAATGATGCAAGGTCAAAACTCAGAGCAGCAATTCCAGGAAAAGGGCAAGAGCACTTGATCGGATGCTTGCTGCTTTGAAGGGTCGTTGGATAGGATGGAAATAGTTTTTCAGCACTACTAACTCTGGAAGTATTGGACTCAACCACAGTACCAGGCACCATATTTGAGGAAGTGGCCAATTTGTCTGAATTATTCAGATGAGTGTGAGTAGAGATCCCTTCTTCAATGACTGGAAGAAGCAGTGAGGAAACTGAGGTATTCACATTCAATACACTACCAGATGTGGAATTTATGCTGATGCTTTTACAAAAATGGTCAAACATTGAATGAGATGCCGTCCCTCGGAGGACCCGCTCTCGAGCACCTGTCTTTACGTCCCAAATGTACAAAATATCAACAGCATCAGTTCCTGAATGGTTTCGGCACAAACATGCAATATAACCTCTTCCACCATCCCATACAACTTTTGCAGGATAGCTGGGATGTCCGGAAAACACTCTCTCTACTCGCAATGTCTCGAGAGAAGCTAGTGCAACACATGAATCCTCCCCAACTGAGAGAAAACAATCACTCCAAGGACAGAAGGTATGAGCTGGGGGAAGAATTATTTGGCGCACTGGACACACATGTTGGTGCATGACTGTGATGAGATTTCCAGTTTCAAGATCCCATATGCGAACTGTGCAATCCATGCTTCCAGACACCAAAACTTGATTGAAACTCCACCCTTTGGCAAAACCCACCATCCTATGTGCTGCCAAACAGAGTACAGCACCCGTGTGCCCTGAAAAAAGCTGTCTGGATATTTGTGGCTTCACCTGACCATCATGTGAACTCCCACCAAGAGGAGCTAGGCCCTCAAACAAATCAAAGCGAACAACCTCTATTTCTCCACTAAAGAAGCCATAAACAACAGCATAAGGAGCAAATAATGTTTCAGAAATAACCATGGAAGAAGACACAACTCCTCTCTTACTAAGTAAACCAAGATTGTCGTTATCTACACTATTTACACTTCCTGAGCTAGAAACAAAAGATTTTGAAGATGGTAGTTTGGTCTCCATGTCACCTGGGTCCTCAGATTCATTACTCGAGTTAAAATTTGTATTCCAGTCAGCACCTGCTCCGTGCAACTTGAACCACAAACCCAAATTCCAGTGGTCATCGTGTGCCCGACATGCAGACCAGATTGTAACATGGGGTTTCCACTGTAAAGGTTCTTCAGAACTAAAGCAAAGTGATTCAATACGAAGAACATAATTGGCCAATGGAATGAAACGAATTGATAGTCTCACATCAACAGGATGAGAGGCAGCAGGGATCTCACAAAGAGGCTCACAGTTAAACATATCTTTGGAATAGGATACCAAGTAAACAATTGAGTGACCTTTGTTATTCCAAACAGTAAATTTTCTTGAAAATTTTTCATTGCATTCTTGAGTATTTGGCATGTTTCCAACGTTTTCAAATTCAAGAAACATTCCTCCCACCATATGTGCTTGAGTGGAATTACTTTCCCCACAAAGGAGGTTGTCCACAAATGAAACGTCTCCAATTGTAGTGCCACTGGGCAATAGTCTAAATATGCAACAACTTTTTAACACAAAAGCAATAATATTTCCACAGGTTGCAATTGACATTACATGTCCTCCCTCGCTTAACCCCTCTGCACAAACAGTCATTTCCAACTGAGAACTTGTATGCAAACCAGCCCCACCCTCCCTATCTTGGTGTAGGTCCTTAGGTATTGAAACCAACTGTAGCCGACCAAATGAATCCGCCATCACTACAGAATCCTTCTCCTGATCCTTGGTCACTGAAACTATGTCCATAAACTTCAATGACCCAATAGACAAGTTTCCATGAAAAAGCGTTTGGACAATGGTAAGAGTATAGGAGTCAACAATAACCACAGTGCATTTGGGGGGTCTCTTATGCTGAGACTCTCTATCCCCCAAAACCTCCCCTGCTTCACTTGATTCAACCGAATGATGGTCCAACAAATGCACAGTATCAACAAAACAGCAACCAACACATACATAACGCGGATTCGATGGCAATGTCCGAACCATGGACGGACTGCCAACCCAAGGTGGTAACTTCCTTCTACGCCTACAATGCCCACTGCTTCTACTCCACACACACAACATTCCATCAACACATGCACTGATTAACGCGCCATGACTATAGGAGCTCGAGCTTACCTCAACGTCACTTAAAGAGCCTCTCCGCTCACTCCCCGAAACTACAAGTGGATCACAAATGCCGAGGTCGGCTATGGGAGCAGCATGCCCACACAACATAGCTACCGGCACAATTTCCTGTCCCGAATACGAATTTCATTTACTCAAACGCATTCTAAAAAGTTTCATAATTATAAAAACTCTATAATATGCATAATTCAGCTAAAAAATTCTTGTTAAGCAGATTAAACTAAGCAAACAATTAACCAAGGCGAAATGTAATTCAAGGAAATATAACAAACAAGTGGTGGGCGAGTGAAAGTACCGAGTTGGAATCGGTGGAACGGAGGTTCCACCAGATGATGGAGCCGTCGGATCCGCCGGTGTAGAGCGTAGGGGGTTGGTTGAGCACCGCCGCGGCGGTGACGCGGTGAGATGGAGGCGTGCCTGACCATATGCAAGCAACGGATCGGCACTTCATGACTCAGTATGCCGGAGGAAGTCAGATCACATTCGAAACGCCGTCGTTTGCGAGAGTGGTGGCTCGTGGCTGAGTAGGCCGAGTAGGCAGAAAGTTATCAGAAGGGTGCGATCATCGACGGGCTCTCTGTTTCTCTCGGACGCCAAGACTCTCGCGTAGAAAACGACATGTCGTATATCTATCACTTTCAGAGATTTTTTTTTTTTTTTTTTTTTTTCCTTCTTCTTTTGACAGATTTTCAGAGAAGTTATTTGGGAGATTGGGTGAATACAATGATTTTACTGTTGTAAAATTGTGATAATGAATGTCTACAGTAGTGTAATTGTTACTATGTGATGTTTTAAAAAAGTGTAATCATTTTACTTTTTGGTTTGTCACGGATGTGGCTTTATATAAAGAGCACTCAATGTGTGATTACAATACACAGCAAAGAAAAGAAGAGAAGTGAAAGCAATAATATCAGTATCCCTTCCTTCCTCTTTTTCCTACGATCTTTGTGTTATAGTTACGAAACTAAACATTGTGATATCTTGCACCCACTTCTCTTCTGTCCATATTAAATGTTATATCTCTAACTTTTTCCTATTTATAACATTTATGAATTTGAATCGATGAATGGATCAAAATTAAAATAGTGAAAACGTGTATCGGTCAAATGTTGACATATTGCTCGCTCTAACATTAAAGACATATTAATCAAATGCTAAAAATAATCATTTCAGCAATTGATGTAAGATCGTCATGTTGTCCCATCTCAATGGTGATTGTGAATGCGCCATCAAGTGTGAATGTAATCTTTGACGAATAATAGAATAATTTATGTTAAATTCATCTAACACGAATGTGAGTTCAAATTTGAATGTAGAAGTGAACGACAAGGTTCAAAATAAAAATTTTACCATGCAGCTACAATTATTTGTGTCGCACGCACTTACCATCAAAAGCCAATACCAAAAAAGCGCGCACACGCAACTGAACTTAGCATTCCTCAGTTTTGAATAAGTTCAATCACTATTACAAATTTACAATCATAACTCAGGACTCATAACTCAGAACGTTTAGATATAAATTATCATGGATAATTAGCAGCAGAGTAAAATCTGTCAACTACAGCATCATTACAACTAACGCAGTCAGAAGCTGCATGTTAAAATTCACAAGCCGACCCCCGAATCGTCCAATTCTTCATTTTTCGGTCGAAACCGCCCAATTCAGGAGCCCTAAATATCACCTAAAACCAGAACATTGTCCTAAATTAGCTTGACCGGTTCACCACTGAACACAAAATTGACCAACTACCTTATATACAGCAGCCTAAAAGAACCCCATGGCAGAATACATATGCCTTCGACTCTTGACAAGATCGAATCTACTGTGGATGGCTATTATTTGTTAGAGGAACCTGAGTGCTCCCGTTTGCAATCAATGTCTGTTGGGCGGCAACAAGATGTGGTGGAGCGGACAGATTTGACGGCGGTCTTGGAGCAGCTGGCGTTGGTTGGGTTGGCTGAATTATGAACTGGTTAAGAGCAGCAGAGTAAGCACGGCCTGACAGGCTTCCACGCATCCGACCTGTTGGTCGCCAGTTCTCCCCAGATGACAAATCTGGTGATCCATCAGCCCCAGAAACTGCTTGCACCGTTCCCACTATGTTTCTGCCCTGCTCCATTGCTGCTGACCTAAAACCTTCAGCATTTGCCGCCAAAATTGGCCTGTTTCTCGGGGATTGATTTTGATCTGGCGTTGATGGAGACTGCCTGGCCATCATAGCAGCTCGCCGCTGCTGAGCAATCATGAACCTTTGTTGGTTGTTTAAAGAACTTGATGTTTGACCAGTCCCAACTCGTACACTTCCTTGCTGGATTTGAGCCCGCAAGAGATGAGAAGATGATCCATTGGCGCTTGAAAACGGACCCACAGTCTGGGGAGTCATTGGATTAAGAGCTTGCTGCAGATGTGCATTTTGGAACTCCATAAGCCCAACAGATGTCTGGTTAGCACTCTGCATTTGACTCGGAGCTGGAAGGCCAACAACCTGTTGGGCAGATTGGCCATGACAATCCCAGTTCTGTAAGATTAATGAAATGCAACTCATTAGCATGACAAGATGGACATCAAGAAAATATCCTTTAGATTGCAATTCCGTAAATTAGCACACGAGAAAGTCCCTACAATGCTTTTACCAACAACCAATCAATCTGAAAAGTGTACATTAAAAATCAGGAGTTTGAGGTTCAGGGTTCCCAACTTGCATTTATACTGGTCGCCACCAGCACGACAAACTGGACATCAAGAAAAGAGGAAGGACTAACCTGTGTTATTTGTGATGGAGGTTGCATTGAAGGAGGAGCGACATTTGACACTTGAGGCGGATTCATTCGGGCCCTAGAAAAATGTTGCTGCCTTTCCATATCACTACATACTGCATTGACACCATTTGCTGTAGGTGTGACAGATTGGCCAACCTGTGAAAGAAGAGAGGCACTAGGGGGAGTATTGAAACTAGTTCTTGATCTTTGCTGCAATCCTGGCGTCCAGGCAGGAAGGGCCTGAACTGCTGTTGGTGTCCTGGGTAATACTATGTTCGCAAATCTCCCATACTCACTGCTAACAGTAACATTTGAACTTGCAAACTGCGGCTGTTGTAACTGCAAATTATTGGAAGAAGAATATTGAGTAAGCATTGCAGATGCCACAGGATTAGTGTTCCCATGGCTCTCAGTTCCTCGATCAAGCACAGGAGAAATAGCATCAGTCAACACAGGCGGCTGTAAAAAATTTGCAGGACCAGGGTGCGGGATACCACCATCCATTTGGGTGTCTGACCTTATACCGGAGGTCAACGAACCATTAGGAAAGTAAATGCCAGACCAAAAGTCATCCTCTAGATGAGCAGGAACAGTTTGATTAACCCCGTTTGTGTTGCAAAGAGGTTTCACGTCTTCGGTTTCACAGGTACTCACAGCGTCCATCTCAGTATCATCCTCGGTAAGATCCAAAACAATAGGAAGTGCAGATGAGACATGGGTAGATTCTTCCTGTTCAGATGTTTCTCTTTGAAGGGTCTTATCATGTGCCTGACCTAAGTCCTCACCATTCTCCAGTACAGCTTTCCATGATCCATCCATAGAGATTATCACTTCAGCGACGTTCTCTCCTACCTCTCTCAGGACCTACAGGAGAAAGTCAACTGATTTTACAATATTGGGTAAAAACGTAACACAAACAGATATGGAAGAACGAAAAATAAATAGCTACTCACCTTAACCATATTTTGATCCACGCGAAGGTCCAAATAGCAGACATACTGATTACAATGGGGGCAGCGCCAAGAAGGTCGTCTTAAATTTATATTGACATAATTACTGAAGTCGAAACACTATAGCTCATATAAGTCACAGAAAATTATATTAGAAGACTGTATTGACTACTGTTAAAAGAAAATATAACTCCATGTGCAATGACAGAATAACATCAAATTTCATCGACTACCCAAAGCTAGACAGAATTTCAATTTCAATTTCAAGAAAAAGTAACACTGAATTACACAGAAAACTATTTATCTATCACCTTGTTTGGTATAATTTGTAAAAGAGAAGATAAAGAAAAGAAAAAAGGAAGTAGAAAATCATGATATTTTCCTCTGTCAGGTTTAACAGAAAGGAAAAAAAAAAAAAATCAGGATTAAAGGACAACAAATCTAGCTCCAAATTCTCAACTTCCCCTTCAAACCTCAACTACTATAAAACATTTTGGTGGGACATAGCCTTTTCTATCTTCCTTACAGCCCCCATAGCGTAAAAGTCATAGTACTATTTTTAAAATATCAAATTTGAACCCGAACTCATAAGAAATATCTCCAACTTATAAACCTGAAACCATGTCACCTCAAAACAGCACATCATATAACGCAGGTGGACAAGTTGAAAAAAAAAAAAAAAAAAAAGAAAAAAACCCTAAGGCCTCATCAAAATCAATCATGCAAGCAAAATGCATACAAATCGAGGAACAATTTTACAAGTCTCAAAAGCTTGTTACCTAACGACCATGCAGGAACTTGTAAAAAAAAATTTAAAACCAAAGGCATCAACGGGAGAAAAAGATGCATGGAGCACTCACCTGAAGATGTTTGCAAAAATGTCCTTTGACAGGAGTTTTTATACGTGTATAACTGTTTTGCAGATAAAAACAAAAGTAACAATCAGCATCATAACAATGAAGTTTCTCATAGAAGGATTAGCAAACTGCACATTTTTTGTCCATTTAACATAAAGAAATAAACAACCAAAAAATAGACAAGATATGAAACACACTTTCAACCAAATAACAAATGTATTCACCAAAAATAGGATGCATGACCAAAATGCTATTTTAATTGTTGAAATCAAAACTTAGACAAACATAGAAGCAGCTGGCCTAACTGATGAATAACCAAAAACATAAGAAAATTAGAATAAATGTTGTTTCAATCTTTCAGCCAAAAACAAAAAAGGTTTCTTCAATCAGAAGTTCAGAACATATGGAGTAGAAATATCACATTAATAGGCATCAACATTTAACCTCCGATATCTTCGTATGAAGTTAACTCAGCCTCTCCAGATCAGAATTGATAAAACATAAGCAGATATCCCACAAAGTTTTTAGCATTGACATTTCTACTTAAGGTAAATTCTGATTAACACAGTTCAGGTCAAATGTCCAAGGAATACCCATTTCCAAAGTAAAAGATTAAAAATACAAGAAATAAGGTAAGAAAATATAGCAACACTAAATATACAAGCAACGACTATCAAGGCATACCTTATGGGACAATTGAGAGAAATCCTTGATGGCCCCTCTATTATATCAGGATCTAATGATTAAACGAAGACAATTACCCCTTTAATCATACTATAGCATTGTAAAAAGCTTAATGCTTTGTAGAAGTCCTGATTTATATACATACATACATACATATATATATATATATGTATATAGTGAATATTGAAAATATAATCAAGTGTCTTTTGACGTTTCCCATGAAGAATACCTGAATCTGAAGGAGAGACAGTGGGCTGAGTATAATCTTTCAGTGCTGGAGTGTCAGGTGATGGCGTGAGGCTCATAAAGGCAACCACTATGATATAGTTACCTAAAAATAGTTACAGAGCTGGATGAATATAGTACAAGAAAACTACAATAACTAGACAGTGAAGACTTGCTTCCAAGCTCACCATTGAACTGACCCACAGCTTGCAGAAGATTTGATCCAAACTTAAGCATTCCAGTCACTACTGAAGGCACCTGGGGTCCAGTATCCTGAAAAAGAAAGTGAAAGGCACAGGCTATTACGAAATGAATACCATGTTACAATCCAAATTCTTTCACATTTAATTATTGAGTAAGCGGAAACCACACAAACCATTGTAACGTTGATCCTTCTATCTACTCCCTTTCCATTTAGCAGAAAGCTACAGAAGTAATAAAAGAAAAGAAAAAATGTTACACAACGAAATAGGAACACCTCCAACTAAACCAACTAAACTAAAAGGATGAGAGAAAAATGAGTCTTACTTCACTTGTGGCGGACTTATAATACAGGCAGATGTCTCTAAATTATCTGTTTGTGCTACAAATAATCGCTTGAGGCAAACAGAAAGAGTGAGGTCCAGAATAACTTCTCCAAATCATAATTCCATGTATTAAAGGAAAACAGTATAAAGTAAACATTTAGAACAAGGAGAGAAACCACCACAATTATATAACCAAATAATAAAAGCCATGGTGACATAAATTATATGTATAGTTATTCTGCAATAAGCTAAATAACGACATACTTCTTAGATAGACATGGATAACTAGGATGCACTAAGGATAAGATCAGCCGTCCATATCAAATCTAACAACTGCTAAGACCTAAATTAAGGAATTGTGCCCCTAAATGTTAGATCAGACACGGAATATGAAGATGCATCTCACTCACTACTATGTAAGATGGGGAATAAGCATCTAGAAGGAGACATAAGCCTCCATTAGACCAGATATGACCAATCACTTCGTGTATCATGTGTTTGCTTGTGTATGATGTGTGACCGCATATGTGAAAAATGCATACATGTAAAAAAAAAACTACAAGACTCAAGTACTTACAAACACTCCAACATTGAAACTAAAATGGCATCTAACTTTAGAAGATGCTTACAATTTTTTCTTGCGGAGAATATTGTGTAGTCTTCGAAATATGGAAATCAAGCACATGTGCCCCATATCCCGGCTACACCACAATCAAACATATGTCAAAACGAAAGCAAAAAAAGGGATATCTAAAAAGAAAAAAAGTTGAAAAAGGGAATGAAGAGCCACCTTGACTTCGAGAGAGGCAAGTATTTGGCCCATCTTCATCATTGGATAATACCTGCACCACAAACACAAGGAGATCTTTCAAAAGTGTAAAATTTGTACCCTCAGCAGAAGACATGGTTGATACTTCATACCAAAAGCATGATTATTAGGTTGAGCAAAGAAAGAATATTTTGAATCTTGGAGCTAAAGAAGTATTTAAACATCAACAAGAAACACAACAGAAGATGGCTAGAATGTGGAAAAAGATCGCATTTAAGTGCTTATATATATGCATACACATGTCAAAAAAGTCAGGCCACATGTCATCCTAGCCTTTCATCAATAAAACTTTCTACCTATTCTTAGTTAAATTCTAATATGACATGGTGCAGGATCATTAGGTTGAGATGATATCATTTAAAAGGAAACAGCAAATAAAACTTATATCATATGTGTGCATACACAAATATGTTGTAACAAGCACAAAATTAAAGCACGATACAAGTTCCCACCTTTCCATAATTGTGTCTATTACAGAAAGAGAACAGCTAGCTCCAGTTTTAACATCCCCCAAGCTGCAGAAGCTACTTCCTATCTATAATTGCACAAGAAAATCATCTGCAATATTTACATGAAACAAATAATAATAATAATAACAATAATAATAATCAAATTAATAGAAAACCTCATTAGCTAGAGAAAAAAGTTCTTCAGTCTCCTTATCCGAAAACCATCCTGCCCTACAAGCATTCTACCAAGTAAAACAATATCAGCTCGAAAATTCATGCTTACATTCAAATTCTCAAAGTTAACCAAATAAGCTTGAAGCAAAGAGCGGATAATAGAAACATGAACATGGGCAATCCGGATATGCTACTTGGGTAAATGGGTAGCACCCGTTTTTTGCATTTATTCGATAAAATGAATCGCATTCGGGTTTTATACCTTAACAGAAATCATCAGCACCATGATAGCAGCTTCCAAAACCTTATCACTCTTGCGTTGGCATATCTACAAAAAAAACAGGCGTTTAAAGTACAAAATTTTCCCTCAAAAAGAAAAGGGGAAAACTAACCGCAACCAGGAATTCACGAACTCGAGGAAGAAAAGTTCATTACCTGCTTCAACAACCCAGGTAAATCTTGAGCAATCGCCGGAACCTCATTGTTTGCAACGGCATAGTCAATGCCTCTGCATTTTGCCAAAGCAATTTCACACAAAGGAAGGAAATTCAAGGAATTGAATTAGGTATTGAGTAAAATGGGGAAGGGTTTTTACCTGGAAAGGGAAAGGCAGAGATTGAAGAACTCCATGGCCTCGCCGCGATAGCCAGATTTGACGTGAGCCGCCAAGCGCTCGGCGACGGCGGCGACTCGGTAGGAGTTAACGAGGGAAGCGGAGAGTTGCTGCCGCCCAATGCCTCCAACGTTCAGACTGATTAAGTTGCTCACCGCCTGCGGTGTTAGCGTTGTTCCGCTCATTAGCTCACACAGACACACCGACCACACCCACATCTACACGCGCCCCTCTCTCCAGGCTTTTCAAATGTTATAAAAAAACTGCAGGAGAAATTAGAAAAAATAAGGTTCTGGAAAAACTAGTAAAACAAAATCTGCGGGACCCATTACCAGTAAGGGATGTATTCAATTAAGATTTTTGAGGGTTTTAATTTTTTTAATGAATCTAGGGCTATTCAATCGTAATTTTAAGTGATTCTCTGAAATTTAAGGTGTATTCAATTAGAATTCTAAGATAATTTATTAAAATCCTTAGAAATCCGGATGTATTCAATTAAGATTTTAAAGAAATTTATAACATTATTTAATTAGAAATTGATTTTAAAGAAGTTGAGAAAGTTGAGGAATTTGAGAGAATTTGAGAGATTTTGTAATGTATTTTAAGCATCCACAAATTTCACCTATTTTGAGGGAATTGAATCAAAATTTTATATAGAATCTCTACAAATCAATTAAACTCCATAAAAATTCATGAATTTATAAATCCATTAAAATCTCTCGAAATCTTAATTGAATACATCCCCTAAATCTTATAATTTATATTTGAGAAATTTTATTTAAACTCATATAATCTCTTTTTACACCTAATATATTCTCTAAACTCATATTACTTCACTTTTAACCTAAATTTATTGCCTAAATTACCCTCATAAAACCACTTCAATACATAAATTTATTTTTACACGTATTTAAAAAATAAAAACCCAAAATCAATATTCTACAACTCGTTCAAGGCATAAAGAGAGTAACATCCCTCACCTACTTGTCTCATACATAATCTTTTCTGCATATTTACCACTGTGATATACAAAGCTGGAAATGGTGTAGTTTTCGTCATATACAACTAAGTCAAGTTTAAATAATTGTGTCATCTCAGTGCTAATCTATGTTGTAGTTGTCAGCCAAAAAGCCAAGAAAATTACATCTCTAGTGGAGGCTATAAATTGAACATTTATTTGTTACAGAGTTTAATTTAGATTTATTTTCTGGGCAAGTGTTACAGAAAAGGCGTTAATCTTGTTTCTAAATCCTAAAAATTGGAAATCAAATGGAAAAAACTTGCATAAATCGATTCATACATCAGTTGGAGGATTCAAAACTTCAAAGGAAATTGAAAGCTTCGTCTAGCGATTGTGGTATCGCATACACAGAATGAGACGTTGCATACAATAAAGCTGGGATGATGGCACTGGCCTATGAAGCAGTCTCGGTGTACCCTCGTTGTGCAATCGTCACACAAGAGAAGCAAAGTTAACAATAACTGATTTGTGTAAACTGGCAACGCTAACTTTTCTCCATCTATCGCTCTACGTAGTTTGCAAGTTATGTGTAGTTTCCCTGTTGCTAAATTTGGATCGTATTATATTCGACCTGTTGCCCTTGACGAGATTTCTTATATACGAACAAATTAAGCCTCCGATCATTTCACAACTATATCAATGTAAAACGCTCAAGTTTATATAACTCATGCTTCGAAACTGTTGGACAGTTGGACTTACCCGATTTCATCTTGGTTCTTTGTCTTCTCCAACAGGGTTTCTTAGCCAAGCAACCGATGACAGACCAAACGAAGCAAGATGGATGGACTGCAATGGCTTTCTTGGCACCAGTTTTTGATTCCCTATCGTTGATTTCATCACGGATTCCCTATCATTGATTTGATTTTTGAACCCTAGATTTGGTCGAATGAATATGTTACAGAGCTCCATACCTCTTTTTATGTCTTTCTCATCTCTGGCATTACCCCATTTCTTGCCGGCTTTTTCTACCAGATTTCTAGTTACATACATTCTAGTTACATTCTCACCTAGAAAAAAGGGGCAAATCTGCTTTCTGTCAAGACACCTTTGAGAATTTCAAACTTATCTGCCAATGTTTTCTGCAGAAATTCTAGGGTGTTCCCGGCTATTTTAACCATTAGATCTTGGTTTTTGTATGTTTAAACAAAGACCTAGCGGTTAAAACATTTGGAGTATCCCATAGTCCGGAGTACCAAAGAAAATCCCTGTTTTCTGAGCCTCAACATCTTTCCAGTTCTCTACGTGTCTACCGTGTTGCACCGTGAATTTGCTGAAGAATTTAGTTTGGTCTTTCGATTTCCAGTCTGAACAGAGTTAATCCTTGGAATTTCTAAATTTACATCAGTCACTTTATTCGTCGGTTTCGAGTTTTAAATGTTCAGTTCATGTCAAACTTATTTTATCCTCAAATTCTGCTGAACACCACTTCGGCTCAAGCAAAGTGAAAGTGTTAGGATGAAGGTCCTATCGGTTGGTTACTCAGTAGTGCTAGAGGTACTTAAAGCTCGAAAGAGTTGTATTGTTTCAATAAACTTCCGAGTAATGATGTTTCAAAGTTCTACATTTCATGTAAATTATAAATCGGCTCAAGCAATCTTACCATGCTCCCTTGTAACGAATGTGACGCAGCTTTGGCTTCACCTACCTCCTGTTCTGATCGAACGCCGGAACAGAATACCTGAATATTACTCTTATCTTCAATCCAGCTTAGTCCAGGATCCTTTTCCGATGTCGGTACTGTAATCTTTCTCCTTGATTCTACAACACTATCCCATTTTCCTGCAGCAGCATAGAGATTTGACAGCAAAATATGCGTTGCACTGTCTTCTGAGTCCAAACTTAAAACCTGCTCTGCTGCATGAACTCCTATTTTCAAAATTTTATAGACGACGCACGAGCTCAGCAAAGTTCTAAACAGTTCAAGATTTTCATTAAACGGTGAACTGATGATAAGCTCCTCTGCCTGATCCAACAACCGAGTTCGACTTAACAAACTCACCATGCAAGAGTAGTGCTTAGGCCCAGGTGTGATACCGTTTTCCTTCATACATTTCCACAAAAATTTTCCTACTTCAATCAAACCACTGTGGTTGCAAGCTGAGAGTAGAGACAGAAATGTTACTTGGTCTGGTCTCAGACCGTGTTTTTCTATCTCGGAAAACAGCTTCAATGCTTCCTGTGCCATGCCGTGATGACTATATCCTCTGAGCATTGAGTTCCAGCATTTCAAATCGGGGTCCGAGATTTGGGAAAATATAGAATAAGCAGCTTCAAGGCTACCATTTTTTTAATACATATCTACTAGACTCCCGCAAACTGACATTTCAACATCGTGCCCGGTTTTTACGGCCCATGAGTGAATCATCTCACCTTGTTTTAGCATGGCAAGGTCGGAACAAGCACTCAACAGTCCACTGAGAGCAAAGCTGTCAATCTTATGGCCTTCCTGGCACATTTCATAAAAGAACATAATTGCACTCTCCCCATCAGTCAATCTCGAAAAACCCATGATCATCTCAGTCCATAGAACAAAATCCTTCTTTTTGATGGAATAAAACACCTTCTGAGCATCATCCGATTCAACATTTCGAAAATACATAGACACTAGTGTAGTTCCTACAAAAATGCTCTTCTCAAATCCTGCTTTTGTGACCTGTCCGTGAAGTGACTTGCCATAGTTGGAAACTAGATCTGTGCCTGTTGCGGATATGATGGCTGCAAAAGTATTCTCGTCTGGTTTAAGAAACGATGTTTTCTTCAACTGGACAAATAAATTCATGGCCTTCTCACCCTCACCATGTTCCGAACACCCAGAAATCATTGTGTTCCAAGAGACCAAATCCGGGTTGCACATTCCCTTAAACATGCCAAATGCTACTTGAGTGTCACCAGAATTGCAATACATGTCAAGCAAGGAATTCTGCAAAGCTAAATCAGCTAACGTTTTTTAAACTATGACTCGGGCATGGATGAGTTTCCCCGGATAAGAATATCTTAATCTGTTGCAAGCAGTCAAGACCATTGAATATGTGAATTGAGTAGGAACAATTCCAGTCCTCAACATGCCATCAAAGAGAGAAAGCCCTTCCGCTGTCTCATCATTCTTCAAATTCCCAAAAATCATTGAATTCCAAGCAACAACATCTTTTTCAACCATCCCGCCAAAAACTTTCCTCGCGGATTCCAAATCCCTACGGTTGGAGTACATCCCAAGTAAAGCAGTTTGAAGACAAACATCACTCAAGAACCCAAACTTCAGAACTTGGGCATGAATCAAAGAGCCAATCAACCAATCCTCAAGAGTATAAGACGCCTGCGGTAAGCTCGTGAAAGTCGAACCATTTGGCCTAAGACATTCAACTCCCATTTCGTTAAATAGCTCACAAGCCAAAATCGCACTGTTTGAGTCCCGGGAATAGGCTGCAATGAGCGCATTGAATGAAACCAGATTTCGTTGAGGCATTTTGTCAAACACCTTCCGCGAGTCCCCAAGCGATCCACATCGCCGGTACATGGATATGACATTGTTGTACAGGTGCGGCGAGCGCGAGCCGCACCGTGGTGGTGGTAAGGATTGGGCGTGGAGCTGCCGCGCTTGTTTCGGCGAGGTTACAGAGGTGCATTTTTGCATCGGAGGTGCTATCTCATACGACGGTGGCATACAAATTAGTTCAACACTATTACCCGCCAAAAAAAGGAGCGGCTTGGATATGAAGCAGAACAAATTGCAATATATCACAACTGTCCCCGATGTTTCCCAATATATCGCCGAACACCCCAACCAGCCTTCTAAACGCTGCGTTTCGTGTCCTCCAGACTCTCAGACGCGAATCGCGATGTCCGGTGATTCGAAGCTCTCGCGGCTGTGCCGTTTGGACGACGATTTTCTCCGTCCGTACACGTCAGTTCCGTCCACACTGCCGTATTAGGGTTTTGTTTCATTGGTGTTTCAGAAGCTCATTTCTCTGTTCCTTTTGCAGGAACCCGGCGTCGTTTTGGTAGACCAAGAGATGGAAGTTCCGGTCACTCTCTCTCAGGTTCTTCGACAAGTCAAGCTCTGGACCCAAGCACTTGATTCCGGCTCTGAAAATGTCAGTTTCTCTATCTCTCTCTCTTTCTAGAAACTGCAAATTTGACTTCCTCTGATAAAAAGGCTCAAACTTTCCTTGATCAGGGAGTGGCGATAGGATTGGATTGTAAAAGTGATTGTATGTGTCCGACTAAAATCGAAACTCACTTGGTAATTTCGTATATATATATATATATATATATATATATATATATATATATATATATTTCATATGAATGAATTATATGTGCTCATTTTTCTGTTTGCGAACTTTGTATACGTTGGAGCTTCAAATTGTGCTGTTTTTCAAACATATGGTTTTGCTAACAGTGGAGAGTCAATATGTCAAGCATCTGGCGTGCAATGTTCTTGTTGCTGTGTCGGAAGTCCTTGTTGATTCGGTATTTTACAACTTCCCTGACTCGGACAAATGTAATTATAGACGGGATTTTACTGGGTTTTGTGTTTCATTTGTTAGTTCTATTGTTTTTTTGGGAAGCAACTGGGAGGGTTTTATCCGTTTGTTGTGTGTTTGTATGAATTTGGCGATCATTGTGGCGGTGTCTTGTTCTTCATCATGTTCAGTGGATGGAGCTGATGATCTTCATTCTGGTTCGTCGAGGTTGATTCTTGCGTTAAAGCTTAAACTGGAAAATGTTGACTGGTCTATCGTGGCTGGTGTAGTTCGGGTTTTACGTGATATAAGGAAATATTTGAAGTCAGAAGACGATGATGAACTTGTTGAAGCGTTCTTTGATTCTATCAATTCCGTTCTTTCAACTGTGCCTTGGAATTTACTAGATGAGATTCATGTTGGTGCAAAGCCTGATGTTCAGAAAGGGTCCAGAGCAGATGCTTTGTTTCAAAGATCCTTGTTTCTAGGAAATTTGATTCAGTTTCTCTGTTCCATGGTTGAGCAAAGTGGTTCTGCGGAAGCTTCAGGTGGATCTATAGACAAACATCACCCAGTTTTTTCTACATTCATCACCCTTGTTCCGCAGCTTTTATGTTGGTGCCTTGGTGAGCAAGCACATTGCATTAATTTCAACAAGTGCATCTCTCAATACTTTAGACACAAGTTATTGGTATGTGTTTGCCTAAGTCCTTTCTTGAAGATAACTATTGATGTTTAGAAGATTTTAGGGATGTTGGTTACACATCTATGCAGAAAACCTAAGCATGACACAAAAGTTTGATGTCACAAAGCATGGATAACTGTCTTGCATCTGCAGTTTGAAAATAGCTTAAGCTGCTTAGATTTTCCCGTTTCTAATGTTAAGTTCGTGAAAAATAAAACGCTTAGTTGAGTTGGATTGAGTAGTACCTAGACTTCTAGATCCTTCAATCTTCCCGCCAATACCATCTGTATAAGTCTCAAGTTGTGTACGTATGATGCTGGTGTGGTATAGGCCTTTACTAAAGAGATGCTAGTCAATATCTGTTTCTTCTTTGGGAAACAATAATATCTCCAATAACATTTTCCTTTGTATTTATATGAGAATTAACATGTTCTTTTGGTGCGTTACCGTTGTAGTTTTATAATGACATTTATATAAATCTACAGAACATAATATGTTATATGCATATTTTCCTGGGAACACGCTTCGACTTAGTTTATTAAATTATTACTTATGCTTGTGTTAAATCCCTACAATATAATTTGACTGCAAGTACATGGTGCAAACCTACAGATGCTTATGATCAGGCTCATTTTCCAAACCTACCCTCAGCAGTCAGTTCTTGTTTCATGGTTGCAACTAGTCCATGATTACTTTGGAGAGCTTCTGCAGCAACCCATTACTCCTCTTGAATACCTGGATGATTGCCTAGAAGGGTCTCCATTTCTATCCAATGTTTCTGATGCAGAAGTAAACAGTTTGTCTTCCCACCATCTGCAAAGACAGGCTGTTTTCCTCTTTGTGAGGTGTTATTTTGGTTTGATTAGCTCGAAAGTAGGAACTAACAACAAATGTGCTTGTGCTATTTGGAACTTACGCTTGATGTGTGACTCAAAAACAGAGCTGGATTGTTGTGCAAGAAAGAAAGGTCTATTGGAGCTTTATATCTCCGCTTCAAGGGCATCTTCCAACTGATATGTCAGTGGACCATGAAATGTATTTTGAAAAATGTGCAACTTTGCTAAATCATTCCTCCAACTATACATTAAAGAGGTGTGACCTTTTATTTCTTCAGAAGTTGTTGCATAGTTAATCAAATTGTACTATATGTGCATCGAAGTTCTTAATGTATTTGGCTCGTGTCTTTTGCTTCGAAGGATTGCGTTATTCGTTGATTTGTACTCAAAATTTTCATTTCTTGTCCCTGTCATGAACTGTAGGATGATGTATTATTCAAAGTTCTCCTGCAATTGCTCTCTGTACCTTTTTGTGCCGAAGAATGGTAAGGAATAAATATCCCACTTTTTTCATTTTTCTGAAAAGTATTTTCACGGATTCTTTTTAACAATTTTTGTGTTTAATACAGGTTGGAAAAGGAAAAGGGAGCGTTTCAGGATTCAGAGGGCAATACTATTTTTTCATGTCTCGGATGTTGTCAATCCTGTGCTCTTATTCCATCTATTTCTGTTAGAGGCAAGATGCTCATTATTTGATATTTATATAGCCACCCATTTCTACCTTGTTATGTTTCTATTTTTTAATTTGAGGTCGGTGGTCTTGGTGGGGAGGGGGGAAAGGAATCCTTGACGATATGACAGTTTACGTCTTTTTAATTTTGCAGTTGAGCTATGACCATCAGGTGCTCCTTGATTACCTTATTTCGAAAGATACCGGAATCAGCTGTGCAGAACATCTTTTAAAGTCTTTATTCTACTAGTTATATTCTACTTCTCTAAACTTGAGAAAGCTAGGGGCCCATTTGAATCAAACAGTTTGATAACCATTTCATTTTTTGTTTTTAGTTTTCACGTTTTGGTTAGAAATAAAGTGGAAATAAGGAAGAAGGGAGAGATGGATAAGGATAGAGGAAGGGTGGTGGGAAGAATGTGGAAAAAATGAATATAGAAGGATACACAACATGAAAACCAAACCAAATACTGAGAAGAAATTTAAGTAGGTTTTCTCTTTCTAGTTTTTGGTTTTTATTTTGTTGTTGGATGCGCATTTCTCCGTTCTCCCTTGTACCACACTTTCTCCACATTTTGTATTCATTCATCATTCCATATACTTTGCCTCTAAGTTTAGTGTGAAGAAATGAAAACTACAAATGAAATGGTTATCAAATGGACGTTGAATTGTACTTTGCTACTTTTGCTTGTTTCAAATTCAACCCTTAAGCTTGTTTGCTGTTCTGGTGATTGTTACCTACTTTAAGCCTTATTATGGTTTTATTCTTTGATTTTTTGAATTATTGGTTAATCATGAATTGAAATGGTGAACTACAATATGAGGCATGAACCCTCTACTCCTGAATGACCTCTCTTAACTGATTAGCAACAAAGGAGAAAGAAAACGAATGTAGTTGACCCTAGAGATTCGTATTTGATTCATATAATTGTATTTTTAAGTTTCTTCTCACTGTGCTTAATGCATTCTTTCATAAGTGCTTGCGTAAAGTGTTCAATTCATGAAGTTTATTTGTGGAGTTTTCAGTGGGTCGACATGCTACAAATCGATCATCTAAGAGAAGAAAAGTTGCATCGGATGTGTGGAGTTGCAAGGGCACTCAAAGTGGAGGAAAGTATTTTAAAGAAGCCAAAGGGGGCTTACTTTCATTGAAAAATTCAATTGAAAGTCTACACCGAAAGGATCTGTTTCCTTACAATCCTAATGTTCTTCTGAACCGGTGTGTCTTTGAACTAAGTTCCATTATGCTTACCAGTAAATTATTGAGTACTTTCACTATACAGGGTTTAATTTTACTTTCTAAACTTATGACATGTATTTTGGCCGTTTCTGCACTGAACTTCTGGCTCTTCGACTGCAGAACTCTGTTTTGAGGAAAAGAAGTAATCTTCTGACTTCTAAAGGACTGAGTGGTTCGAGCTCTTCACGATTCTTTCCAGCATATATAACGATGTTTTTCGAAGAAGTGAATGAGTAGATGAAAAAACCTTGTAATTGAGGTAATTTAGATTTGTTTTACATAGATGCTCATTTCTCAATTTTTCCCCTAACAAGTAGAGAAGCAAAGAAGTTTAATTTGTAGAAACAATTATACACGAAATCCGAGTGACTTGTGAGCTTTGTGTTAGGGGTGGGTTCAAAAAATTGAAAACCGAAAAAAAGGGGATCGAACACCGAATCGAAACCGAAAAATTGAAAACCAAAAAAAAACCGAACCGAACCAAATTGAATCCCTTTACACTTTATGAATGTATGCCCATTTTTTGAAACTTTGTCGCCAAGTTTTAAACTAAGCCTAGGGTTTTTTCCAAGAGCATACTTGGTTCAATTAGGGAGGATACTTCATTGGTTATAGAGGAAAATTTTGGAAGGCTTTGGAACTTGGAAGAGCTTCTCTATTTGTTTACTTTTTGAATGGATACCATGATCATTTTTCTTTGTAATTGAGGTTGTCGATAGCATAAGATTGGTTTATATGATTTTGTATATGTACAACTACCTTTCTACTTTCTCACTTTCCCTATTTTTTTATTATTAGTTTAACAATGCAAGCCTCTTTTCTAAATTTTATATTAAAAAATGATCAAGTTTTATAAAAAAGAAATTTTATTCAAACTCATTTATTCTTTTTCTATACCTAACTTATCATTTTTTTATCTTCAAAATGTGTGCAACAATTCTCTTTCTACACCCAAAAATAAAAAAGAACAAAAATAAAAAATAAAAAATTCTAGCACTAGAAAACTCTACCCACCCTACTAAGGGTGGGCACATGCCACGCGCGGGCCGAGCCCAAATTTGAAGGGACCGAACCGAACCTGTTTTAAAATGCAACGGGCCGGGATGGGGCAGGTATAAGGATTTTGAGATGTAAAACCGGACCTAACTCGACCCGTTTCAAACGGGCTTGGTCCACAGGTCCAATCCCAAGCTTGGTGAAGTAACGATTTCGGACGGATGGCCATTGCCGTCGAGTTGCAGATCCACCGCAGAAGCAGAGTTGTTGAACTTGCGGCCAACGGAGAAAACAAAGTTTGCAGACGCGTCGGAAAACAACGTGGAGAGAATAACAGAAACAAACCAGAACGATAGCTATTGAATTTTTGTGAAGATCCATCTGAAATTAAAGAAAGATGGAATATTTGGGTCGGGAAAGGAGCTGATTCTATGGGAGAAAAACCCAGTTTCGAAGACGATTCCTGGATTGGATTCTGGGAATTTGTGGGATTTTTGGGAAATGGTTTTGGTTTCTTGGCCGGAAGAAGAAAAGTTTCATAATTTCATTTCCTTTGATGATGGACACGTGAGTTGGCAGGAAGAAGAAAAGTCTTCATTGAGTTTGGTGAAGCCACGCATTTCCTTGGCAGAAAGTCTTGCCATGCGTGTTCTGGATTAAATCCAATAAAATCCAACAGTTGAACAATTTGATTTGGGGCCTTATTTCTTATAACTTTTAGGCTCGCCCCGCCCCGCCCCGTTTCTTCTACACAATATTAAGACTCGTTTTGTACCCGCCTCGACCCGCGAGTCCAAGACCCGTTTGCCCACCCCTACACCCTATCTCTCCCTACCCAATCACCCCCAATTTCTACTTTTCCCCTACCCCACCGCCACTCTATCACCCACAATGAAAACCCCAAAGATCTCAGCCATCACTCACTCTAACTTGTTGTTTAAGAACTGGATAGTTAGACAAAATGTACTCAAGAATTTCATCACTCACTTAACTTGTCGCAAGTGAAGAACGTTGAGGGACTTGAAAATAGGAGTGTGTCTACAACAATGTAGACTTGGATTGTCAAAACCTGTTAGATTCCACTGGTTGGTTGTTTCACAGAATTCAGATTGTTAGAAGGATTGCGTGGAAGATTGCGAAAAGGGTAATGATGGTTGAGATCTTTCGGGTTTTCCTTGTGGGTGGGTAAGGAAGGTGGTGGTGTGGGGTTGGGAGGGTAGAAATTGAGGGTGGTCGGGATTTGGAAAGATGGGGTGGCCGAAGTTTTCTAGTTCTGGAATTTTATTTTTTTTTATTTTTTGTTCTTTTTCAATTTGGGTGTAAAGAGAGAATTGTTGGACACATTTGGAATTTTAAGAAAAAATAATGACAAGTTGGGCGTAAAAAGAGGGTAAATGGGTATGAATAAAAATTTCCTTTATATTTTTGTTGACCATGTGATTCCTTTATTAGTATAGCGAGTAAATTGTAGCAATGGTCCTTTAACTTTAACTCAATTGGAGTAATGGTCCCTTAACTGAAAATCCATTATCATTGATCCCTTAACTCATCAAAATGTGTAGCTATAGTCTCTCAACTAAAAATTTATTACCATTGGTCCTTTAACATTAATCCAACTAGAGAAATGGTCCCTCAACTTTAGCCCAATTAGAGCAATGGTCCATCAACCTTAACCCAATTGTAGCAATGGTCCTTCCAACATAACTCATTTTGACAAAATTTTTATGAAGTTGACGAAAATGACCATAGCTACACTTTTTGATGAGTTAAGGAACCTCAATTGTAGCAATGGTCCTTCCAACATAACTTATTTCGACAAAATTATAAAGAAGTTGACAAAAATGACCACAGCTACACATTTTGATGAGTATAAGGACCAATGGTAATGGATTTTTAGTTGAGGGATGACACATCCCAACCGAAATCAAGGGATGCTAGCCGTCACGTGAGGGTGACGTAGCCATGTGCACAGTGCGGAAGCAAAAATAATAATAAAAATGTGAATAAATAAAAACCAACTACCAGCAGTACTAGCTAAGATAACATGCTAGTGCAAGGTTAAGTGTGAAATACACAACCAGAGCATAAGTAGCCTAAGTGCAGTCCAGCAAGACAAATACTAATTATACAACACCCAAAGGTAATCCTACACTTGTGAAATCTGTCAGAACCACCACTACAATCCTCGTATGCCACCAACGAAACTCCTACCTAGAACCTATAAGGGTGCAAAATAGAAAGTGTAAGTAGGCAAAAACAAAACTTTTCAAAATCATTTCATTTCTCAAAAGTTCTAACCTCTCACCGTAAATGCTGTATAATTTCCCAGAAAATAGAATATATATATATATATACCACAACCATGCTCTGAATAGCAAAATTCACCAATATGCCATGTCAAATATCTTAGCATAAAAAAAATATATATGTAAGCCAGGTGATATAACTCAATGCAAATAATATGTCAGCCGAATTCACCTAACGTGACTTGTACGGCTGAATCTAAAGCTCATCCATCTAACCGAAGTCACCTAACGTGACCTATAAGGCTCAAATCCACATCTCAACAAATATACCTGCACATGAGTCGGAACTACCTAAAGTGATCTGTACGACAAGACTGGGCGTAAATAAATACGCTCAAGTGTTACGATCATGTGAAGACTGTGCAAATAATCGCGGGTCACATACGAGTCGGAACCACCTATAGTGGTCTGTACGACATGACTAAAAATAAATACGCTCAAGTGTTACGATCATGTGAAGGACTGTGCCCTAACTCTCGGTTGAAGCACTAACACCGGGGTGCAGGTTTATGAGCTCTCAACACATCTCACATAATCATCAATCTCACAACCATAATCTTTAAACTTACCTGGCACTTACCTGTGTGTCCACAACACCAATCATAAATATATGAACTAATGCATGAGTAATATAGGCAGATACTTTGCATGGCATTTCAAGACGTATAATCATTCAAATTCATTTTTTGGGAAAAATACCAAGTATATAGGTCTATACGGAAAACCAAAAGCCCACTCACTGATAAGTGGAAGGGTCGTAGCCCCTAAGCCTCGATTGACTGCGCTCGTCCTAAGGATAAGTCTCACCTATATGCAAAACAACTATATAAACGTTAATTTAAAGAACATAAACAAAACTAGCTAATAACTTCTCATACATTGCTCAAATGGGGTGATTGAATATATCAACGTGATGTACTCAACACCACGAACATCCCCATATTTTTAGAAAATTTTCCGACCACCCACACGTAGGCACGTGCCTGGCACACATACGGAAACCCTAACAGCGTTAGGGAATATTCCGTCCAAAAATGGAATATACCGTTATATATACATGACACCGTTAGTAACGCCATTAGTATATTCCGTCATCTTCAACCTTGGTTCGCCGGTGACCATCGCCGTCGCCGGAAACTGGAAAAACCCTAATTCGTCATTTCTCTTCCATTTCTCAACCAAAATTCATGGACTTTGCACCAAAATGAAGCTTATGACGAGTAAAGCAAAACCTTACCACTTTCAAGCCTTAAAATTCACAGGATCTCGCTGAAGAAGCCTTGATAATCCGGCCAAAACTTAAAACTCGCTAAACTCGACTTCCCGACATCCAAAACACCTCGTTTTTCTTCTCCAAGCTTCGTGAGAGTGTTCTAAAGCTTCCTATAAGCTTAGAATCTTCCAAAAACTTCACATTTACGTGTGCATGAACAGTACCTCAAATCGGAGGTTATGATTCTCGGGTTTTCCGACGGCTTCACATCCCAAAAATGGTATAGATGTACTCAGGAGCTTGCAAGAAACATGAAATCCACCTTCAAGGTCTCGATCTGTGCAAAAAATGGCTGATTTGAAGGTTGTCCATACAACTTGTACGGAATTTGGGCATCCAATCACAATAAACAAAACCACACAACCACACAAAACGTTCAAGGGCAATTTCGTCTTTTCACACCATTGATACAAATATTTCGGGACGGGTTGTCACAAGGGACCATTGCTACAATTTGCTTTTCCTTTATTTACTATTTGATAAGTTTAAATTTCGACATGTTAAATAAAATAAATTTTAAAATTTAAACTCATTCAATGATAATAAGTAAAGTGGTGAGGAGTACTCGGACGGGTTAGAAGGTCAACCTAACCCTAACTCATCATTCAAAATTCGGGCTCGAGTTTGGGTCAGATCTAGATTTAATTAGGTACAAGTTTATTCGGGTTGAGTTTGGGTTGCTCAACTTTTTTGAGTTTAATCCTTTATCAACTTATTTTGCAAAGCGAAATAGCATCAAAGCTAGTTAACTTCAATATTACAAATCAATCAAAACTTCAATCAATTCCACAAATTGATATCCGCTTAATAGT